TTTTCTCTTTTTGGGGAACAAAAGCTAGGGTTCAAAATTTGCCGTATTCAAGGAACAAGCATGAGACAGTTTTTGTTTTTCCTGTTACAGGTTTGAGCGTGATATGCTTGCGTTCTCTGGATGCTATTATGGTGGTGGTGAAAAGGAAAGAGCAGAGCTAGGTTCAATAAGAAAGAGGTGGAAAACTTTGCATGTAAGGTTAAAATATTATACTCCATGGTATTTATCTGAGAACATATATGCAACAAAATGAAACAACAGTATGTTTCATTTGTTTGGTTTGCAAATGACTCGATTGCTTTTTCTTAATACATATTCTGGTCTTGGTGGATATATTTTGGGATTATTGATATGGACTTTGTGCAATATTCTAAAAGGTAGTGTTTAAAATTAGACATTTGGAGAAAATGGGGGAAGTAATTATAAGAAAAGAAAAAAATGCTAGTGCCACTAGTCAGGAAAAATCTATTTCTATGTGTAATGAAGCTGATTTTACAATTCCCATTATGAGTTTGATTTGGGTCATTCTCTCGATACTGAGCTTGTGAATGATGTGCTAGACTTTGTCTTGATCTTTTGCAGAAAAATAATCCTGATAAGGAAAGGAGGCATGGAAGATGTCCCCTTACTCCAGAGGAAGTTGGTCTGATGCTGAGGGCTCTTGGATATGGCAGTGATGTTCATATCTATGTGGCATCTGGTGAAGTGTACGGAGGGGAAGAGACATTGGCACCCCTGAAAGCACTATTCCCACACTTCTATTCAAAGGATACTATAGCCACAAAGGAGGAGTTGGAACTCTTTTCCACATTTTCTTCTCGAATGGCTGCACTTGACTTTATAGTCTGTGATGAAAGTGATGTATTTGTTACCAATAACAATGGTAATATGGCTAGAATTTTAGCTGGAAGAAGGTATAAAGTATTTCTTTAGTCCCCTTCTGTTCCTCCTATTTCTTTGTAGGTGCTTCTTAATTTTCTAGCTTATTCTACTGTTGCAGGAGATATTTTGGACATAAACCTACAATTCGTCCAAATGCAAAAAAGCTCTATCGATTGTTCTTGATCAAAGAGAACATAACTTGGGAAGAATTTACCTCTAAAGTTCGTAGTTTCCAGCGAGGCTTCATGGGGGTGCCCAATGAGGTGAGGGCAGGCAGGGGTGAGTTTCATGAGAATCCATCTACCTGCATATGTGAAGATTCTGATGCCAGGGTAAAGAAGGATTCTGGATCTAGAAAATATGGTAAGGGGTATGATGCAATGCCAAAAGATGTAATAAATGATGAAGACCAGAATGATGATGATGAACCAGAATGGCCTGATCCTGAAGACGATGAAGAGCAAAATAATGTTCAATATACAGGGCTGTATAACGGAACAGGTTTGGATTATGAAGCAGCTGCTGCTGAGATCCTGAATTGGAA